ATAATTTTACCTTTCAATAAATAATTTGACATGCATAACGAAGTGCAATAAAAGATAAATAAAATGAAAATATTCCTGTCATTGAAAGTAGTGTCTTTAAAATTTAAATAACACTGTCTTATAGTTATATGTCCAATAATTGATCTATTTCTATAAAAAAAGATAAATAAAAATTGCCTCAATAAAAATAAAATATATTAAACTGTGCTATACCATTACATGTGTAATAATAATTAATTATTCACAACTTATGCTAATAAAAACTACTTTTATATATCCCGTGCACAGGAAAGTTACTACAGTTATATAAATAGCATGTTAAAACATCAAATTTCATTATATATAAATATTTGTTTTAAATAATAAGGTTATTATTTTTCATATGAAATCAAATATTTTTCTTTTCTCCCATTTTCTTTTACTTAACCAAGCATAAAGAGAAAAAATTATATCCTTTTACTTTTTCTTTTTTCCACTTTCTCTCCTTTGATTTTCTTTTCTTCATATATTTTCCTGAGCCAAGCATTGTATTAGTTTCATGTTTTAAGGGAACATGTGAATATTTTTGAAATGATGGGGGCAATTGAAATTTTTTAATAGGGAAAACTAAAATTTTTTAGGATTATAATATTAGGATTTTAATATTAGAATTGAAAAGGGCAAAACCTGCTAGCATTTCAAACAACACGAGCATTAGTATTCATCAATAAATTTTGATTGAAGCTATAAAAATAGACTCTCATACACGACACACACACACACACACGCATATATATACGCAAATATATGAAGATTTCAAAGCGTGCATATGCATAGCATACATTATAAAATGAGTACTTGACTGACATTTTAAAAAGACAGATCACCTCAATAATCTACTGCATCAACATGAATGGAAATTTGTGTGCTCATCATGTTAGGAAAATCATATACCACTATTATGTAAGAGAAAATTGAAAAAAAATCTAAAAGCTTAGAACAAGCCACATCTGAAATGCACGAATATCATGTCAAAAGTCCTATATCGAGGAGCCTCACAAGTGTTGTGGAGTTTATAAGTGTGAAGAGTTCTCTCACCTAGCAAGCTAGTCTTTTGGGATAGGTTTTTCCTTTAGACTTATACTCGTTACATTGGTGCTTTCATTAAAATGTCAGTATCACAAAAAGGGCTACTTATAGAGGGCTTTGACTAGTAGAAGGCCAAGTGAAGTGTCATGGAGTAAAGCCACCGAGGACATCGGCTTTTAAAGAGGTGACATTGTCACGAGTCCCACATCAGGGAGCCTCACAAGTGATGTGGGGTTTATAAGTTCAAGAGACTTTCCCTCCTAATAGGCTAGTTTTCTAGGATGGGCTCGTCCTTTGAACTTGTGTTTGTTACATATCACAACATTAAAATTTTCTCAAATACAGCATACCCATTAGTAAAAAGAATTGGTCATAAGGATGTATTTATATATAATGAAGCACCGAGTAGCCTAAGACATCCAAAATTGATTGTGAAAATCGAGCAGAACATTAAACAAGCATCAAATGAACAAAATGAGTCAGTGGAGGCATATTTTACAATATTACACTAGTTATGAATTCTATTAAATGATGTCTTGTGTTGACACTCATTACCTTTGTATTAGTATTGTTATGAATTCATTAATTTTTTTCAATATCAGATTCAAAAGGAATCTTGTTGGTTTCTCCTTAATCACATAACCATGTTTTTCTAAGATTCCATTTTTTAATTTTTACAATGCTAAGAGAGAACATTCATTCTGTTTTTGCATTGTTAAACTCATTCAATAAGTCTTGCATGATCAAGTAAAGTAAGGTAGTCAGATTGAAGAGAAGAGACAATGTGCAACACATAGCTCATAAGCCATAATTCAAGGAAAATGTAACATAAATGCACTCAAGTATTAGATTTATGAGGCATTAGGACAAAATTTACTTAGTTTTATCAGCATTTGATAGATCAGATTCAAATGTAGTGGTTGTTCAAAACCAACAATTTCCTTAGTTGTAGCAACCTCAACACAAACCCTAGCCTTTATATTTTATAACAACAACAACTATAACAAATATTATTCCACTAAGTGGGATCGGTTACATAAATTGCATGAAGTCATTGTGCTAAAATATCAACTAAATCTTTGGGAATATTTTATAGATACAATAAATTTGATAGTTAAAGAAAAAAAGAATTTGAGAGTAAAACAATAACTCCATTTAAAAGAATATTGAATTTGATTACCACATGAAGAATTCTAATATCTAAATGAGTGATAAGTGGATATTTTACTTAAATTAACATATACTTACTACTCCTTTATTTTCTAATTAATGTGTAAATTGATGAAAATTTGGATAAAATGCTTGATTGACATGCGACGAAGTAAGGAGGACCTATCATTTTCCATCAGAGGGGTGTGGATGTTCTTATTCTGCTCTGGCTCATTTTGGTTTTTTAAGAGTCCCTTCCTGAAAAAAAAAAAAGCTTTGCTATGTTTTGGTTTCTTTTTCTAGAAGTTTGAATTCCTAGATGAAGTTATTTGTTGTTTTAAGAATTTGACAGTAAAACTCTTTGACTTCATGGATTATTTATCATAAGAATATGTTTCTGGACACATTAATTGTAAATTTTATAGATTTTCTTCTATACCCTTGCGTTGGCTTTGTGAAAGTGTGTGAATTGAAAAATTAATTGGTCTTGAAGTTTTGATGGTTGCAAGTGCAGCTAGACTCTAGTTAGTCTTATTGAAGTGAAACACAGAGCATTGATTCTATCTGAGATCAGTTTATATGTGATATGAATCAAATGAATGATTAATTGCCTGCAAAATTTTCTCTTCTTTTAGCCATGGGTGTGTTTCTTCTGTGGAAGTTGAGACTGACAATTAAACACCTAAGCTTACTTTGTCCTGCATCTACTTCTCCTTTTTGTATCATTTGTTTCATTTTTCAATTCTTTATTTGTAGCTGGATTTGAATGTGGAACAAAACTACCAAGCTTGTCAATCAACTTAGCAACAAAAGAAACAATTGCCAAAAAACTAACAGCACAAGGGAAAATTGAAATTGTTGAATTAATCCCATGATCAAAGATACCGCACAGTCCTTTTATCTCTTTCCATTACCTTGTTTCTTCAATAGATAACTGATATATGCCTATGAAGTTACATTATTCTATATGACTCTCTCTTTTGGTAAGAGTTTTATACTGTCATAATTCCTAGCGAAATGTAGTCACGCCAAAATTCAATGCTGGTGCTTCTGGGATTCATTCATTTTCATGATGTCTGCATTATTTTCTATCATAGTCTCAGTTTAGTAATTGGATATTTTGATGCCTAACATACTGATTAAATGTTCAATTCTAATAATGTCACCACCATCATGGATGGTTTTATCTTGATGTATTTAGTTTGAAGCATAGATTAGAATGTTGAATATGTCTTAGAATAAGTGAAGCATTGCCAATGTTTCAACCATTATATATATATATATATATTAGTGATGATGTAAGAATACCAGAGATGTGGTTAAAGGCTAGCTACAAAAGGCTTTATAGCAAAAGTCACAAAGCTCAACTTTATTTAGCCGAGCCATGGTGGGCATGTAAATCTTCATACGATTCTTGACACTTGTGTTCATCATGCTAGAAGCTTCAGAATTTCGCTTTGTTGAACTGAGAATTTACAATCCTTGTGTTCTGATTTCATTGTGATGTTCTAAATGACCTGTTCATTTGCTGATTTTCTAGCTGGGGGAAGTTTTGATTAACAATAGCATTGAAGGTCATGTTCATGATCAAAGATTGAGTGGCACATATCCGAAAATTTCTGAACTTAAAGAGCTCGAAAATTGCTGATCTACATCTTCTGTGAGATCTTCTATAAGTATTTGGAATTAGTTCTGTCACTCCAACACCAGCTAGGGCACAAAGACTTTTTCAATTTGTATTGGAGATTATGAGATGTTTTTATGTACATTGGTTTTGGTTATTTAGAAAATAGAACTCTACAAGTGATAGAAGAATTCAAAATCCTTTCAAATATAGATTCTATCTATTCTCAATTTTTTTTTGGGTGTCTTAAAAGATGCACTCTTGCAATCAGGATGTACTAAAAAAAAATTTCAAACACCTCTTGCATATGAATCTGATCCCTCATATGCTGATACCACTTCATGTGAAATTTATTCTAATGTCCCATAAATCTAATACCTTTGTACCTTCATGTTAATTTTTTTCATGAATTATAACTTGATTAATAAGAGCTATATGCTGCACACTCTCTTCTCTTCATTCTGATTATTCAACTATACCTTAATTTAAAGCATCAATAACTTGGGATTCTAATTGATGTTAATGGTCCATCAATTTCGATCCTTCTATCCAATGCCTTTTATTTTCTTTTTCTTTTTTTTGTTTATTGTTTTATCTTGATGAATTCTAAATTATTATTACTGTAAAGGCCACTCTTAAACAAAACCCGATCAAATATATAGTTCCTCATGAAATGTAGTCATGCCAAAATTGATAGTTGCGCCTCTGGGATTCCCTTGTGTTCATATATGATTGCATATACTAATTAATGGTGACTTACTCAGCCAAACTCTTAAACTATATTGTATTATGATTTGCCACGAAAATAAAATATTTTAGTGTGATATTATAAATAATTAAAATTGTTTTAGTGAACAATTTCATATAAATAAATAACAATTTAATATAAAAGATTGATCATTTCAAATTTTGCTTCTAATAAATGACTCTCAAATGGTGACTCAATAAAAATTCCACTAAAGTATGTCTCTAAGGATGGAAAAGATATTTTTCTTCAAGTTTGGAGATGAAAATCCTAATAATATGATTGTCATGCAAAGTTTCATGAATCTTTAATCCTTATACTTGTCTTCATCCTTAACAACAGGCTTAAGAATTTTGTCACGCAGCGGCTTTGCTTTTTCAGCATTCCTTCATTGAGTTATCGTAACATCCAATGCACCTCGACAATATTTTGAATTTCAAAAAAGACATGTTTGCGTGAGTAGTTATGATTCTTTCTCATGCTTCTATTTTAAGTTTGTGATGATCTCATCCTCTCAAGAAATCTTGTCCACAAAACCACATGCTTGAAGCTTCCAAAATCTCCAACCTCATCTTCCCATATGCTACTATTCCTAATTCTGGTCTTTATCTTCCACAGCATTTGATGGTATGCTTGTGAAAGTTGTCAAACTGTAGATGAACAATATAATCGGTTTGGATAGAGTGGGAATTGTTGGTGGCACCGATGGCAGATGTGAACAACGAACTACAAACTACTTGAGTCGTGCCTGGAAGCACACTGGAACAACGGACTAGCAGTTCTTCAGGATTAAACAAGCACTTCCTGCAGTAGAGCAAGGGAACAAAACAATAGAAATTAAAAAGAAAACACAGATGAACACAAGAGCAGAAGGCAGAGGGAGGAAAGAATTGCCCCGAAAACTCAAAAGGCTGGTGCCCTGTTCTGTCTATAGCCATAGCTACATATAGCTTGAGGAAGGAGACATGAAGGTTGGCTCATAATCACTGGATTAAAGCTTCGGTTACACTCTCATAAATCACATTTAAGCACTTGTCTGGGGGTTACACAAACATAAATCACAGTTAAGCCTCTGTCTGGAAATGTTGGCAGACAAAACGTATAAGATATTAACTTCACAAAATCGATTTATCTAGAGACTTTGGCAGACAAAACATTAAGTCACAAAATCAGTTTTCAAAAGAGGTTTAATGCTAAAAAACTGCCAAGGCTTCAAGTTCAAATTCAAAACAGCAAAACTAGAGGTTTTCGAGTAAGCTAAAAATAATTATTTATTTAATTATTTTTGTAAAAATAACCCGGTAAAAGGAATCCATTACCTCTTGAACTCGCGCGCAGGGGGGCGAATTGGCTAATTTCAACTGCAATTGCCCTATGTTGGCCTATCTCATGTGCGCGAGGCCACTTCTCCTCCAAACCCATTTTACTAACCCACTTCATTCCTTAGTATATATACACTAGGAAAGTCCTTCTTTTAGTCATTGTGGGACTTTGACACACACACTCTTTTGACACACATACAACAATCCCCCACATGTGTCAAAAGGATCTATGTTCGTTTGTGTTATTCACACGGAGAACAATCACTTCGAATTTGGTATCTGTCGACTTGAACTAAACCTAGACTAATAAAACTTAGCACATAGAAAAGTCGGTGTAACTTTATTATTGAACCAACAGATCTTGAGCGTGTGCTAAAGGTCTTATTAATCGGATTATACCCCCACAGTCTTTACTGTTAACGACGGTTTTGCACATTATCTACCATACGCGCGCTTGGTTTTAACAAATGCTGTAGAGATTTCGCCACGATCTCATAGGAGCGGCCCCACTCTACATTTGTATAGGTGTTTTCATCAAGTGTATCTGCAATGAATATACCATCCATAAGGATTATGAAAACATTAAGAGCTTTCACTCAGCCTCCGTTCAATGCATTCTAACACTTTCTCAGCCATAGGAAGGGACAAAATTCAGTGCTAGCAGAACTAACAAGCGACTTGTTCTTACCCATTGAACCTTCTTTATAGGGTCTCCAATCACAAAGGTTGGGTTGCCATCAACGCTAATTTTAAACAGGCTTAAGTCCTTGTCACGCCCCAAAAATTTAAGGCGTGACCGGCACGAAATATGTGTATAAAACCCATATCCCTTAAGCCTTGAACAAATATACTTTGGTCCATGCAAAACTATAGGCATATTTTTATTTTTTTTATTTTTTTATTTTTTTTAGAAAACTTTCATATAAATAAGACTTCTTAAATGTATGACAAAGAACAATAATAATCAAATAAAAGGATCTCGCTCCCTACTAAAATATATACAGTCTTAAAGAAAGACGAGAATCCTACCTACATTATATGTGGAGCAATTAGGACCAGGCCATGAAATTAATACAGGGTTCAAATTTTCATCAAGCAAAACTTGTTCGAAATAATTCTTCCACTCCACTTTAGTGATAAAATGCCTCAAGTAACACCTTGATATACAAGCCCAATTTATACTACCTGAGACCAAAATTTATTTTCCAGTGAATAACGTCCCAACAATAAATAATAAAACATAAATAAAATGAAAAGTTCAAAATGGATATGTAAGTTAAAGAAACAAAAATTTCTGAAAAATTCAATAAACTTCAAAATAAAATGTCTCTATAAAAATTCAAAGAAAATCTCAAATCATTGAACTATCATAGCAACTGATAATATCACTTGATTTTTTTTTAAAAAAAAAGCACGTAAATGAAATAAATATTTATAAACAAATTACTGAATAAAAATTAATGGAATATAAAATCATCAAATAATTGGATTCATAATTATAGGGACTTATCAGAACAATTAACAAATGTGGACACACAGTCCACGGGGATAAATAACCAAATGCGGCTTATGCCACGAAAACAAACGTGGACACACAATCCACAAGGGCAAATAATCAAACGCGGCCGAAGCCACGAAACAAACGTGGACACACAATCCACGAGGGTAAGTAACCAAACGCGGCTTATGCCACGAAAACAAACGTGAGTACGATGCTCACGAATAACCATCCCTCCGTTCCACGTGCGTTGGCCATCGCACGGCGCTAGCACCTCCTATGAACACCCTGCTAGCTAGGTGTACCATGGCGCGCCAAGGGCTAACGGAACTGCCGTTAGCAATCAGTGTTCTATAAAAAGTCCCTTTTTAAAACCATTTTTCAAACATGAAAGAAAATCATCACTTTCAAGATACAGTTCTCATTCTCAAAATCAAACTCGCATGAATACTTTTAAGCATTAAAACTTGCCAGTATAAAATTTCATATCCAATGCTCATGCGTGCATTTACTGAATAAAAAAAAATTCAACTTCAAACTCGCATGAATCATTCTCTGTATCAATCCAATATTTGATAAAAAAAATCTCATAATCAAAGTTCAAACTTGACTTAGTTGATCAAATAACATTTCAAATTTAATAAAACACATTTCTCAAAATAAAGTAATGTTAATCAACAAATATTTAATAATTGCATCAATGCTATTAAAATGATTTCCAGAAAAAAATAATATTCTAGTAAAGGAAATTTTGAATAAAAAAAAATCAGTTGGGACGCTATCCACTTACCTGTAATATCCTCAAGGCTCCAAACTCATTTCGTATGACTCTTATTTGAGCTTCCCTCTTTCCAAACATCCTATAATATATGATATATAAGACTTTATTACACCTTCTATAAATTACAAAGGTTTCCTTCTACTTCTAACACAATCCCAATTAACTTCCACTATTTAAAATTCCAAAACTGAAATTCATATCTTAAATTTTTGTCTCGTTGTCATCATTTATATCACCAATTTTCTCCATGTCGCTTTAACCATGCCAATTTATTTACTTGAGATATAAAACTCTCTCTAGCTTTGCATCCAACGTCTTAGATACATTATTTCTAATCACTCAATTAACACTTTCTAATATTCAATCTCTTGTCCACAAGTTACTGCTAACCATACCATTCCCAAGAATTCAAATAGTTTACAAATAGCTTACACAAACCAATTTCTACACAATACCAAGCTTAATTCACAAAATACTAGCATCCAAGTCAGTTATATCTCCATAGAGATTTAATAAGCTTTGAAAAACACAAACTCAAGCAACTCCCTCTCTAATAAACATTTCATCGAACATTTTATAGGCACTAACATTTAACTTTTAAATTTTGGTTCTTTATCCAAAGCTCATTTCAATCATTTCTTCAACATCAACCCATTTAAAAGAAAATCATTTTAACTCAAAAGCTCAATCCCATACATATCCTCATCCTACTCTTAATAATTTTTTTAATCTTAATTTAGCATCCCCTTACCTGTTCATCACGGCAGCAACAGCACAAGGGAAAAGCTTACAATTTCGACCAATACATTACACACTCACGCACTTAGTACCATTAGGAAGAAGAGCTCAATACTTCTAACCTTAATCACACACAACGCAGCAAGGAAGAAGAAAATTTTCATGAGCTATATAGGGGAGAGGGAGCTCGATAAAACCACAGCACAGCACAATCGAAGAAGACAAATTCTGATTTTTTTTTTCTATGGTCACTAGTGGCGGGCGAAAAATAAAGATGAAAGGAGAGGAAAGCTAGATCACTTACACATATTTGCACAGATGCTGAAGAAAGAAAAATGATACGGAACAGGGGAGAGCTGGATGAAGTACTGTGCACTACCCACAGTAAGGATTCCGGCGTTCTCAAGGTTGCTGGCGACTGGACGAGTAACAGGGATGAGGGCGGAAGACAAAGATCTCGAAGTTACTGGAACCAAGAAAAATCTCCAACTCTGTTCCTCTACTCCAGAACGCGTATGCACCGCCGAAAAGAGAAGAAAAGAAGAGGAAAAATGCGGAAGACTTGGCTGGAGGCAAAACAACGAGAACTCACCGGAAAAATCAAATCGGAAAAATCGAAGAGGAACAGATGGAGACGGCATCAGCAAAACCCCCCCAGTCGAAGGATCCAGAAAATGGTGTTATATCTATGCGTGCGTCTGACCGAGAGGGAGGAAAATAAAGATCTGGATATTAGGAAATTGTGAAAATTACAAAAGAGGCCACAACATTTTCCTATAATAACATAACAAACACGGGCACTTTTATAATTTTCCCAAAATTTTAAACTAATAGAATTTAACCCATTACTTAAAAGAATTCAAATTCTGAATCTTTAAATAAACTATTAGTATAAGTTTCACTAAGTCACCATTCTCTATTTACCATAAAATTTATCTAAACATATAAATTAGAAGAATATTTTTTATTATTATTGTTATTATTATTATTATTATTTTGTAAATTTTAGGTCATTACAGTCCTACTCCCCTCGACGTTTTAATAATAAATTTCTTCCCTAGGGGTTAGTTAACGGATCCACCAAATTTAACTATGATCTCACATAATCGATTGAGATGACTTCGTCTTTAAGCAGCTGCCTTATAATATTATGTCTCAATCGAATATGTCTACTTTTGCCATTGAAGGTCTTATATTTAGCTGTTGCTATTGCAGACTGGCTATCATAATGTAAAGACACTGATGGTGTGAGCTTTTCACCTATTGGAATACTTGCTAAGAAGTTTTTCAACCACTCAACCTCAGTCCCAGCCAGCTCCATGGCAATGAACTCAGAATCCCTTGAGGATTTTGTGTTGATTGTCTGTTTTGCAGACTTCCAGGTTATTGCACCACCATTAAGAGTGAATATATAACCACTAATGGATTTTGTCTCTTCTAAATCTGAAATCCAATTAGCATCACTGTATCCTTCCAATACAACAAAAAATCTACTATACAATATACCATAATTCATAGTACCTTTCAAATATCTCAAGACTCTCACCAAAGCCTCCCAGTGTTTACTGCCTAGACAGTGGGTATATCTACTCAATATGCCTACAGCATAAGCTATATCGGCCTAGTAAAATTCATCAAATGCAATAGACTCCCAATAATCTGTGCATACTCAGATTGAGCAACTGGGTCACCCTTGTGCTTTTTTAATTGCACACTCGAATCATAAGGAGTACTCAGAGGAGCATCTTCAAGATGTCCAAACTTTCTGAAAATTTTCTCAACATAATGTTCTTGGGAAAGCAAGATTCCATTTTCATTCCTTATGATTTTTACACCCAAGATTACCTTGGCTTCACCCATATCTTTCATGTCAAAATTTGAGGAAAGAAAATTTTTTTGTTTCATTAACAACACACATACTAGAGTCAAAAATTAGCATATCATCCACATACAAGCATATAATCACACAATCATTATTCACTAGTTTTGTATAAACACATCTTTCTACTTCAACAGTAGAAAATCCACCAGTTGTCAAAACTTGATCAAGCTTCTCATGCCATTGCTTAGGCGCTTGTTTTAAGCCATACAAAGACTTGACAAGTTTACAAACTTTACTTTTTTGCCCAGGAATCACACATCCCTCAGGCTGTACATTGTAAGTTTCTTTTTCCAAATCACCATTTAAAAAAGCAGTTTTAACATCCATTTGGTGAACAAAAAGTTTGTAAATTGAAGCCAAAGCAATAAGAACTCTTATAGAAGAGATTTTAGTCACAGGAGAAAATGTGTCAAAACAATCTATATTTTCTTTTTGAGTAAAACCCTTGGCCACAAGCCTTACTTTATATTTATCAATTGAACTGTCTGGAAAATATTTTTTCTTAAAAATCTATTTATACCCAATAGCCTTAGCTCCTTGGGGAAAATCTGCTAAAATTTAAGTTTTATTTTTCCTTAAAGAATCAATTTCAATTTCTATTGCTTCTTTCCAAAATTTGGCATCAGGAGAAGAAATAGCTTCGTAAAAATTTAACGGTTCATCTTGTACTAAATAAGTGTAAAAATCATCTCCAAAACTTGTTTCTTTCCTTTGCCTTTTACTTCTCCTTAAAACCAAATTCTCATTTAAATTTTGTTCAAACTCTGAATTCTCAACAAGTTTAGAAATATGATTAATTTTTAAGGAAAAAATATGTTCAAAAAATTTAGCATCCTTAGTCTCTACAATTGTGTTTTGGTCTAAAATATTACTTTTTAAAAATAAAAAATGATATGCTGCACTTTGTTCAGCATACCCAATAAACATACAATTAAAAGTTTTAAAACCAATTTTTCTCTTTTTAAGGTCAGGTAATAAAACTTTCAAATATTTTAAATTTCGAGTAAACCCTTTCCATAACTCATAAGGTGTTTTCTTTGTTTTCTTATAAGGTATCCTATTTTGTAAAAAACATGTAGACAAAATAGCTTCACCCCACAAGTTCTCAGGTGCATAAAAACTCACAAGCAAAGCATTCATCGTTTCTTTTAATGTTCTATTTTTTCTTTCTGCAACACCATTAGACTCGGGAAAATAAGGAGGTGTTATCTCATGTATAATTCCTTCTTTTTCACAAAAATCATTTAACAAAACATATTCTCCACCTATATCAAATCTAACCTTTTTAATTCTTTTGTTTAACTGATTCTCAACCTCTGCTTTATATAAAAGAAATTTTTTCAAAAGTCTCATCTTTGTTTCTTAACAAGTATACCTTAGTATATCTTGAAAAATCATCAATAAAAGTGATATAATAGTTTTTACCACCTCTAGTCATGGTTTGTTTTAAATCACCTAAATCTGTGTGAATTAAAGACAGTAATTTAGATTCTCTTTGACTAGAAAAATGAGATTTTTTTTTTACTTTTTTTAGTTTTTGCACATACTTCACATTTTCCAAAATCATTATTTTTAATTTCAGAAAGTAGTCTGAGTTGTCGCATCCTATTTATATAACCTTTACTAGCATGACCTAGTCTAGCATGCCATAGATCAAAGGAATCAACCATAAATAGACATATACTCAGAAGATTCAATCTTATTCATGTCATCAATATTCAAAACAAACAGTCCTTGATTACAATACCCTTTGCCTACAAACACATTATTTTTTGTCATTACAATCTTGTCAGATTCAAATGACATTTTAACCCCAGCTTTCCCTAAAAGAGCAACTGACACTAAGTTTGCTCTAACTTCAGGCACATGCAGAACGTCGTTCAGAGCCAAAGTCTTTCCTGATGTGAGCTTTAAGACCACTTTCCCTTTTCCTTGAATTTTGACAGTTTGGAAATTAGCAAGGTTAACATGTCTTCCCCTTACTTTACAGGATTATAGGAGGTAAACATCTCTTAGCTAGCACATATGTGCCTGGTAGCCTCAGAGTCTACCACCTATTTCTTCACATCAGAAATCAAGAGAGCTTGTGACACCACTACAGCAATGATGTCATCATCACTGTCACCATCTCGTTGTACTAAATTTACCTTTGGCTTCCGAGGCTTATCACGGTTTGCTCTCTTCCTACACTGTGCTGCATAGTGTCCTGGTTTACCACAAACAAAACAGTCTCTTTTCTTTTTAAAAGAGGGGTTAGAAGCATTGGGTTTGTAATCAGATTTCCTATTCTTCTTGTCTTTAGTTTTAGAATCATACCTCTTGTTGTGAGGCTTTGTCTCCACCAAGTTGGCTTTGGATGTCATTTCTTTAGTTCGAGCTGTGCGTATTGCCTTGTGATTGGTGTCTTCAATGATGATGTGAGTGATCAGGTTAGTCAAGGATAGCTGCTTCTGTTTGTGTTTCAGCTACTATTTATAATCAGTCCAAGATTCTGGCAGCTTCTCAATCAGGATCCCAGCAACAAACTCATCTGGAAGGTTGATGTTTATAGCACGAAGCTCCTCCAATAGCTTATGATATTTGTTGATTTGCTCCTTCACATCCTTGTTCTCAGTCATCTCCCATTTGTAGTAGTTGCCTATAATGAACTTTTGTTTGCCAGTATCCTCAGCAGTGTACTTTGTCACCAAGGACTCCCATATCTTACAAGCTTCCTTATAGACACAGTAGACATCAAACAAATCATTAGATAAAGTGCTAATGATAGTGTATCGACATACCTTGTTTGCATGAGTCCATGCAACTCTCTGGGCTTGATCAATAGCAGCAGGAGGCTTGGATTGAGCAAGATCAGCAGCCACACCATGCATGTCAAGAACGGTGAAGACTCGTTCCTGCCACCATTTGAAGTTCCTGCCATCAAAGACTTCTACCTTCGATATGTCTGGGAATGGCCTTAGTAGGGGGACGGCAACAACGGCAGGGACGTACTGACCTCCAGCCGAACCACTGGGCACACCTTCAGGAGTGACATTCTCAGTACTGTTGGTTGCTATTGGGTTAAATAGTTCTTAAGATTATTGGTAGCACCGGCGGCAGATATGAATAGCGAATTACAAGCTGCTTGAGTCGTGCCTGAAAGGATATTGTCCTTAAGAACTATTTCGGCACACCGAAACGATGGATTGGCAGTTCCTCAGGATTAAAGAAGCACTTCCTACGGCGGAGCAAGGGAATAGAACAACAGAGACTAAAAAGCAAACACAGAGGAACATAAGAGCAGAAGGCAGAGGGAGGAGAGAATAACCCAGTAAAAGGAATCCATTGCCTCTTGAACTTACGTGCAGGGGGACGAATTGACTGATTTCAACTGCAATTGTCCTGTGTTGGCCTATCTCATGTGCGCAAGGCCACTTCTTCTCTAAACTCATTTTACCAGCCCACTTCATTCCTTAGTATATATACACTAGGAGAGTCCTTCTTTTAGTCAATGTGGGACTTTAACACACACACACACTTTTGACACACATACAATAGGAATATGGTTCTGGAGATATTAATTGGAATCTTTTCTAGTTGCAGGTACTTTATGAGATTGCAATCTGGCATTATGGCTCTGCCTTTTTAATATTTGTCCTAGAACATTTCAAAGAAAAGGATAATATACATATGAAGTTATTCGAGATAGTACTTTATGAAACTAATTGATTCCACTGTTCAATTTGACTCTTTCTTATCAAGACTTGAGAGTTTTATTACTGTTCATTATTCTCCAAGAAAA